TCCCCACCTTGTGCCCTTGCTGCTTTTGCTGGCTTTTGGTGCCCTGAACTATTGCCCCTCAGCCACACCACCTTGCCTTGGAGCCAGCTGATTACAGACTGAAACCTCCACAAACTGTGAACTAAATAAACCTTTCCTTCCTTAACTTGTGGTGTCAGGTATTTTTGTCTCAGCAACAAGAGAAAAATAACTAAGATATTCCAAATCTTAGATACCCTAGGGAAGAATTCCTCAATGTAGAATGTAAAAACATGATGGAATAAAAAATAAATTCAACTAGATAGAAGAAAAGTGTGTGTGTGTGTGTGTGTGTGTGTGTGTGTGTGTGTGTAATATGATCAAAGGTATCTTTTTAAATGCTAGGGCTGGGCATTTAATAAATAGCTATAAAAGTTGGATTTGTATTATGCCTTTTCTGGTCAAAATAAAGTGATCACTTGAGAATTAAATGATTGACAGCAATACCTGTTTCGCCAGGGTAGAAAATGTGACTTTGTTTCTTTTTGTTGTTGTTATTTTTATACCTAGAACACTTTAATTTTTGCATTACATAATGCAATGTACATGTTTGCATTACATAATATTTACATTCCTTATGCAGACTCGATACATGTACATCAGACATCTCAAGCCTTTTTTCATCCCCTTTTCCTCCTCCTACCCCCAACTTAGTTTGGAATACTATAGTCCATAACTGTGGAGAACAACTATAAAACTATGTTTGAAAGAGTTTTGGTAATACCTGGGGAAAAATCAATGAGACTGGACACTTGGAGGCAGGGGTGAGCGTTATGAAAGCTTTACAACAATGGTGGTGCACGCCTCCAGCACTCCGAAGGCCTAGGCAGGAGGATCTTTGCAAGTTCAAGACCAGCCTGGGCTACAAAGTGAGCTCATGGCCAGCCTGAACTGCATAGCGAGACACTGTCTCAAAAAGAAGAAGAAAAAAAGAAAGAAAGAAAGAAAGAAAGAGAGAGAGAGAAAGAAAGCTTTACAAAGAAAATGAACTGTATGTGATTCTGCACACCATCTCAAATAATGAGTAGACATGCAGTATCTAGAAAAGTAACAGAGATCTAATCATTAGATGTCTGATTAATGTGAGATCCTTTCAACTTCTGCTGAACCACATGGGCATAATATCCAATAGACTGAGAATCTCTAGTAACAAAATTTCAACTGCTATTGCCTAGCATTGCTCAAACCACAGGTTTGAAGTTGCACCTCTCTGCATATTTAATCACTTGCCAAATTTAAGTATAAATTGCCTTTCCTGCATAAAACCTGTGATAATCCTCCTTAGGTTATTAAGATTTTTAAAAATAACAGGTAAGAAGCACTTTATGAGGTCTTAATTTCTATACAACTTATTGGATTATGATGCTCTATGGACACACTAGACTTACTGAGTCAGAATTTCACCAGATGCTATCTACGAGGCAAATGAACTGAAAATTTTGATGCAGATAATGATCCAAACTGCACGAAGTTGAACTTATACATACATGACTTATTATCTCCTCTATATAATCTTATGCAAAAATTTTAGTTCAGAATTTAGAACTAGAAAAAAATGCACCTCCCATAAGGTTTGCTTCCTCTTTTCTGATCATAAGATTTATGTGATTCGACCTGTGCCTTTTTCTACCTCCCATCGATTCAGGATTTCACAGTGAAACCGATGCCGTAGTGTATCCTTGTGTTAAATCTATGTGCATTCTCTCTCCATCCTTGTTTCTGACTCTTCCCTTCTGTCCCTTGACTTTTGTTTTTGTTATTATTTACTTATTTCCTCAAATATGTACCATAGTTCAATTCATTATAAATTCTCTCACATTTTAAAATACAAAAGGACAAATATGTTAAATGGTAGAAGGCCTTCATTACCTTTTAAGTCTTAACCTCTCTGTGGATGGCAGTTGTTTCCCTGTGTCTGGCTTCTGTTTCTGAGGACACACCTTTCTGGCTCCTGGACAATGCATGGGCAGCTAATTCCTGCTTTTCCAGTTCTGCTTCTTAAGTTGTCCAGGACCGAGCCCTTGAGGTAGTTCCCAGCAAGTTGCCAGGACTTGGGCCCTGAACTCACCTGAACGTAATCATTTTCACTTAGACTTTGTGTCTAAAAGGACAAAATAAATAAGCCCTCTTGGAGCTCAGAGACTTTTGTTGTTATCAGTAAATTTTTCTGGGAATGCTTAAATTTGTTAAGGATACAAAAGTTATTACATGTATTATACATAATGTCTATAATACTAGAATGCATTATATATATATTTTTTTTCTTTTTCACCAGGTTAATCATAGAATGTTTTAAAATAAGAAAACTAAAACACAGGGCTGGGGATTTAGCTCAGCGGCAAAAGCGCCTGCCTGGCAAGCGCAAGGTCGTGAGTTTGGTTCCCGGTACTGGAGAAAAACCAAAAAAGAAAAAGAAAACTAAAACACAGATAAAGTAACAAGTTCAAGGTTGCAGAGCTGGTAGGTAACAGAAAAAACATTGCAAATCTCAGTCTAAAGAGTAACAAAGAACATTTTATTTCAAACCCTGCCATTGACTTCAATGAGAAGACATGTCACAAGACATATATCCCTGTAAAACTTTAGTCAAAATAGCAGAACATATCTGCATTATCCTATAGACTTCACAGCTACGCTTTTTGATGGGAATGCCCTTATAGGTGGCTTACAGTTTTTCTTTTCCAAAGACCGACATAACACACTACATTAGACTTCTGTTCACTATGGAGGCCTGGAGTACATGCACTCTGAAAATCCTTATTGCAGATAGGCAGACCAAAAAAAGAGTACGCTCTGAACTCCTACAAATATATGACATTTCAAAGCTTTACTATCTTTTTTAGGAAGATGTTCAAAAAATATTTGAGCCCGTATTCCTGCTACAGTAAAGGAAAACCTGACCCTTTTTCATTAACAAGGTCATTGCTGTTCCATGGGGTCATTATTATTCTCAGAGAATAGCACAGTATGGGCAATGGAGGAATGAATCTTTGCAAAGCTCAGTGCCCTCCTTCACACTACCAACAACACAGAGGTGGGTCTTTGGATCCACTGTTGTGGCTCCTGCTCACTTGTTAGAAAAATTGCCACAAAATTATTTCATGTATAGAGTGAGACAAGACTAAAATGAAAGACCATGAAGGCAGCACTCTAGTGTAAAACAAGTCTATGTGTTTCTGCTACTGAGTTCTCAAGAGCTGCCTTAGATCTTGTCCTTCCCAAGTACTTTGACTTTAAAAGCACCTCCATTGCATTTCCAATAGTTTTTTTTTGTTTGTTAGACTGTCTTCCTATTCTAACTTAGCCATTATAGATTTGTACACAACACATAGAACTTTTAATAATATAGAGTGGTTAAGTCAAGAGTGAATACCTAATAAATACTGAAAAATACATATTGCATTCTACAATAAGTTCAGCCCACATACCTTCTGCATTTTTTAGGGATTGGAGAATTTCAAATATTGCATCTGTTTTAACAAAGTTACCTTAAATATCTGTTTTATTGAGCATATGTATTCAGCATAGATTATTTCTCTCCACCAAATGTGGTTCCAAGACGTTTTTCAGATTATGAGTTGCTAATCTGGACCTATATTATATATTTACTACACCCACATTAATCAATGCACCACACATGCATGGGAAACATGCTTTACAAGAGCTTCCCTGCCTTTATCTTCACCTGTGGTACATATTGAAATCACTTTTTCCTGCTGTGGGTGGGTGGATGGGGTGGATATCGGGTATTAAATGAATACTGGATTTTGGTGCACTGTCAAGTAGGTGTCCAAGATCTCCAGTGAGCCAGAGATTTTAGATTTTCCTAGTGCACATTTCCTCTTCCTTTGTTGACTTCTTTTCTCACCCTCCAACATGACCTATGTCTGCAGCCACCAGGTACGCGTGTTTCGAAAGATCAAGAGTCTATTTTCTCTGTGTAGTAGTGTTATTTTATGATGTTATAATCTCTTTGTAACCTCCTAATAATCATGTGATTGAAGCAAGTTAATAAGTCATTGTTTTCTGCACATGGCTGAAAAAACAAGCTCAGGGAGGAACCTTTATATCATACTTAAGATACCAAAGCTAGTAGAGGCTAAGTGAAAATGCCAAGTGGCTTTGCCTGATTCTCAACAAAGCATTCACCTGACACCTCCGAGGACATACTTCACATCGTTCCTATTCTCTGTCCTCATTCCAAAAGTTCCTACCATGCCTCAAACACTTGATGAAATTTACATTTTGCTCTTACAATTATTGGGCAGAGAGGCTACTTCCCTTTAAACCAAAAAGAAACCATATAAATTCCTTCTGCCATTCCCATCTCATTCTGAGTAGAAGCTGTATTTTTAATTATCATATGATAGTGGCTAAGATCTTGCTTGAGCTACCCACTTCTCATCCTTATCCTCCTGCTTATTTCTGTGCTCCCTCCACCCCATGCAACTAGAATGCTGGATTGCCTTTAACTGTTCCAGGCATCCTCTTTCCACAGGGTTTTGAATTTTCTTTTACCTGTGCCTAAAATACACCTTCAGAGATAGCCATATGGCTCATTCCATTTTCTTGAAGTCTTTTTACAAATGCTACCTTCTTGCTTGAGTCTCTGTTTATTCTGTTTAAAATTACATTGCTTTTGTTTTCCTCATAGTATTCATCTTTCAACACAGTGGTAAAACTTGATGCATTCTGTTCCTTCTTATCTATCTCTACTAAAATGGATCTTGATGAGGCAAGAATTGTGACTCTTTTGCTCAATGTTCCTGGCTTAAGTGAGCAGTAAAAACAGTGTCTATTAAAAAAAAGTTTAATAAATATCCTTGTATTCTGCACTAAAGGAATAAATGAAAATCATAAACCTTCCACCTTAGGGCAAGGTCAGAGGGGACAATGTTGAAAATCCCATGATTCTTGACTTCAGGTAGCTTGTCTTCCCACACAGGATATGAGCACATAATGAGGCATATTCAGCATCATATGGTAAAACAGAGGCATGGACATGGTAACATGGGAACCGGGACAAACCCACTGTTGCCCTGTGGGATTGCTAAGACTCCTCAGAGGTAATGATCTTTTGCCCATGTGTTAACAGTTAGTAACGTATTTGGAGACATGGATAAGAAAAAGGAAGGGCAATTAAACCTTGGCAGAAATCTTAAAGCAGATCCCAGACTGTGGCAGTGCTTTCTATTTACTGATGGATTATGGACTATGATCCTTCCAACCTGCCACCACTGTAAAGGAACCAGTGTCCGTGAGGTGCATCCCGTGGATGGTCCTTCACTTATGCTCACATCAAGCACAGGAATTAGATATTACTGTTCCCTTTGGAAATGCTGTAAATGAGAACTTGAAAGTTTATAAGGACCCTGTCCCAGGCCACCCTGACTACTGGTGGAGGAACCTGAATTTGAACACATACCTGTGATTCTACAGACCCTGATTTTTAATTAAGTGCTTAAATATGCTGTAAGATTTCTTTTTGTCATTTTTGTTTTGAGGGGGAGAGAAATATTTTCTAATAAAGCTAAATAAATATTTTCTTCAAAATTCCTCTTAAATTATTAAAGTAGCATACACTTATCACTGAAGAAGGAAAATTAAAGGAAAATTTATTTAAAAGTTAGCATACTTATATGATTAGAACTTATTGATGTGTCATTCATAAATATATATATAATATATATATATTTATATGTATCATATGTAGGCCCCTCATGCAGAAGAGTATGGGAAACGTGAATTAAAGCATGATCTTCCAAAGCTTTATAATCTACAATGTTCTTTTACTTAATGGAAGTCTCTTCTGCCTTAAAATATTTATATATATATAATATTAAAATTTACATTAAAATTTATATATTATTAAATGTATATAAAATATAAATATATTTTAGACATATTATATATACCTGTATATGCTGTGTGAAAAGGGGCATGGGGCAGGGGATTTAGCTCAGCTGCATAGCACCTGCCTGGCAAGCGCAATGTCGTCAGTTTGATTCCCGGGACCAGAAAGAAAAAAAAAAAGAAAGAAAAGGGGCAATATATCATACGTGTGTTTAAAAGTTAACAATTATATTATACACATATATGCATATATACTTGAAAGTTGGCAGTCTTCCAGTTGAATACCATCATCCCCAAACTAGGCCTATGAGCCACCAGTATTAACTGTATTCCCTTTGTTTGTTTGAACATATCTAACCATACACATGTAGAGAGAAATTTGAGTCTGCACTGTAACTTTTTAGCTTTTCCTTCTTATTTAATAACATCTCATGGTATTTAGTTTACATAACCAAAAATTTTGAAAAGCTGCCCAGTAGCTCAGAATTTAATCAATTCCCTATGAATGGACATTCATACTTATTTATCTGCTCTTCAAAGGATGCTGCAATAAATATCCTTATACCCATGAACTCAGGCACTGATGTTTTCATTATTTTATAAAATATTTTCAGAACTGACTTGCTAGATCAAAAGGCATATTTTAAAAAATGCATATATTGAAATGCTAACAGGCATTTTGAGAAAGCCTTGGAAATGTAGCAATTCTTTATTGGCCAAAATTGATACTTTATGGATAAAATTTGACTAGATCTATATCTCATAGCAAATGAGTACTTTAATAATGTCATTAAAGAAATTTATGTCCATTAGTCCAATAAACTTCAAATATTTAATGAATATTCTTTTCTTTGAAAGTACAGAATATATTTATCATTAATAGTATGGTGTGAAGCAGTCATTTCCAATACTAATTGATTAAATCTGATACGTATGTACAGAGCAGACAGAGGTAAGTACTGAGAAATTAATGCAGTTGGTCCACATTATTTAGGTGACTCGAGTTGCTTTCTGAAAGTAAGAAAATATGATCTACTTGCATATTTCTGGAAATAATGAGCCTATAGAGAGCCATTCAGACCATTCAAGCACCTTCCTTTTTTAACTTCCTCTTTTGTGCTGGGATTCAACTCAGAGTCTAAGTACTAACCACATGCTCTTCCACTGACCAACACCCCCAGCCTCACCACTTAAAATTATAACGCACTTTGTCCAAGATAAGGATGATGTTGTAAGTGAATGTATAAATACACTCATCTTTCCAACAGTTATTTTGAGGAAGGTAAATCAGTGGTTTTCAGCCTTAGCATTTACTGATATTTGGTGCTGGAAATTTTTTGTTTACGTTCATGTGCAGTTGTTTAGTGACGTCTCCAGCTTCTACTTGATAGATGTCTGTTTAAACCCCTCCCCTAGTTGTAATAATAAAATATGTGTCTAGATGTGGGCAGATGTTATCTGGAGGGCAACATCGCCCCTAGTTGAGAACCAGTGGGGTAAATTATGGGCAAATAATGGGCATAGGTTAAATACAGTATGTATTATTAATGCTATTGTACCTTACTGATGTTTGGATGATATGAATCAAAAACTAAAATATCTAGGCCCCTTTTATTTTGGGTGAAGAGTATATGACTAGTTGCATTTAACTGCATTATAATTTTGCTGATTGGTTAATCATTTTGTGTTTTTCTCTTGAAAAATAAATAAATGTTCACATTTGAGTACCTAAAATAAAATGAATAAGCAAAACAGTGAATGACCAGATATGTAAAGTGGTTCTAGCATGGATTACTGGTGGTGACGTGCTGTGGACAGTGTACAAAGACTGTTGGCAGGAAAACGGTAGAGTTATCTGTCTAGTGTGACTGGACTGGCACACACATGAAGAAAAGAGTATTGATGGGATTAGACATGTAGGCAAAGGCCAGAACACAAAGGCCATGTTCAGGAGTTGGAAATGTTTTCTGTTTTAAAAAGAATTGTGCAGGCTGGGGATTTAGCTCAGTAGCACAGTGCCTGCTTCGCAAGCACAAGGTCGTGAGTTCGATTCCTGGTACCAGAAGAAAAACAAACAAACAAAAAATACTAAAAAAAGTAAATAAATAAAAAAATTATGCAATGGGAAAATAATTCTGGCATTTTTGTAGGTGACAGGATGGAGAGATAGACTGAGAGAACGTAGAGAATTCAAAATGCCTTTGTCCAAGGATTCTCTATGAAAGGTAAGGAGTGGCCTTACGGTACCTACAAACCTCACAGACTACCTTTCTGATGATGTAGACCCCAAACCAACGAAGTGAGACTAGTCTTGTCAGACAATACTTTGAATTTCCTTTTTTTATTTCTTAAACTCAACCATTTCTTTAAAACTGGAAAAGTGAGGTTTCTAGAACCACCATCAATAAAGAACAGTTGAAAAAAAAGTGGGAAATGTAACTTAAAGATAAAGAAAAGAGAAGTGATGTCAGTGTCTTATGTGAAATGCTAAGTTATTTTCATAACAACAGGCCCTCTAGTCTATGATCCAGGTCAAAGTGCGTCTAGTGAGGCCCCCAGAAATGAAGACAGGACGAACTGAAAATTTATTCATTGTTTTACTCATTCTCTTCAGGAACACAACACATTAGGACATTGACTCTCTGTCCGAGTGGACGAGTGGCAGCTGCGGGAGGTGGGGACATCGTGCTCCTTCCACTTTCTCCTGCATTCTGTCTTTATCCTGATGTCACACCAAGTGTGACAGGGCTTCCTGAAAAGCAGAAAGGCAAAAACAAAAATAAAAGCAGCTTAGAAATCGATTCACATTCATTATATTATGTAGCCGCCATTTTGCTAACATGGAAACAGATTCAAGTGGTTACGTCTCCTCGAGAATCACAAAGCTCTTAGTCATAGAACAAGGGTCCCTGTTACTCAGCAGTGCTTTCATATTTGTAGAAATTGCATTTCCCATGAGACTCCAGGAGAACCTGAATATCTCACAAATATAGTCAGGAGAGGAGACATACGCATTTTCAAGTGAGAGGATGATGGGGTGGTCTGCAGGGTGACTGAGCCCTCCCCCTGGGAAAATCAGCCCTGGAAGGCATAGTTACCAGCAGTTTTTTCACAGCTTCAGAAGCCTCAGGCCCCAGCTCATTCACACACTTCCTTAGCCCTTCCACAAGGTGCTCAACAGAAATGCCCAGGGTTTGCAGAAGACGCTTTAATGGGTCCAATAAGGAGAGAACATCCAGAGGCAACACTTTGTTAACAGGAAGGGGCAGCCTGTTGATGAGGAAGGCAGTAGCTACAGGGCAAAAGAGAAACCAAGTGAGACAGGCACAATCTGGCCCTGACTATGCACTCGCCACTTTCCACTCCACCCTCCAGTACCCCATCTGACCTCCTTGTCTTGATTCCCATGAGAACTTTTCCCTCTGGGCCTTTGTATTTGCTCTTTGCCTCACTGCAACTCTCTTTCCTCAATAACTATGACTTTGTCTTGTTTTCATCACCTTCATCTTCTCATTAGAATTCTACAAGAACAAGGAATTTATATTTTGTTCCCTACTGTATTGCATTGCTTACCGATCCCAGCATGCAATAAGCAAGCAGTAGATGCTAGTGGTTGAATGAATAAGTAAATATCTTATACGTGGCTCTGTCCAGAGCTCACAGTTGTCAGGCAAAAATGAAAATCTCTAATAAGTCTCTACTCATAGAATGAACCAAGTCACAATCCAAGAAATTGCTCCCTACCAACTAAATATAATGCTATAACTTAATTGAGCACCAACTCTATACCATTTGCTACAGCTACATAGACAAATGAGACAAGATGCTTTATTCAGAAACCCTACCTTGTCTGGTCGACCACATGAATCTGTATGCCGCCCTGCAGCACACAGCATGATAATACTACAGACAAAGTTCTGTGGAAACACAAAGGAAAGGATGACTAACTAATGTGGGAGGGTGTTACAGGAATAGTCCTAGAATGCTAGAGAGGTGTCTGGAGGTAGAGGTCAGGATCACAAGGTAAAGAGGAGCAGCAGCATTTTAGAAACAAGATCAGCAAAAGATGTTAAGACCGCAGCACACACACAGTAGTGTGTCTTCTACCTAGAAAGGCTGGAAAGCAGAACTCCAGTGGGCTATAACCAAGAGCTGGAAGGTAAAGTCAGTGACATTAAACCAAGTGAGATGAGATTTTGAAAAGCCTTGGATGCCATACCAATGACTATGGAAATTTTTTCCCCTAGTGACAAGGGGATCTACCAAGGCTTTGAAATGTACAACCGTATCCTTACAACTGATTTTGGAAAGATAACCTTTGCATAGAAGAAGAATGCAAAGAAAGGGGGAAACTGGGAAAAATATGTATGATGTATATATGTACAAAAAATTAGCAGATATATAAATGCATACATGCATGTGACCATACATGTGTCCTTCTGCTGCCTAACACCTGTCATAGTTCATTTTTCATGTGTGTGCTGCCTAACACCTATCATAGTTCATTTTCCTTTGGCAACTTTTTGATTTCCTTATTGAAATTATAAAAATGGAGGCTGTTCTTACCTCCCACCTTTATCCTCTCATGTATTTTCTCTCCAAAATTCTTCCCTAATGGGGAAACGCTTATTTCCCCCCACCTTCCTTTCTTCTGCCACTTTGCCTGTAAATATTTATCCTTGGACACTAAAGAACAACAAGATATCCAAAACTAATGAAATTACAAATTCCTGAAACGTTTCAATAAAAATCACAAACCCACATGACCTATGTTAGTGTAGGCAGCACCTGGTGTGCCATGATGAATCCTTGCCCTTCTTATAGTAGACATTTTGGTGTATGCTCTCTCTGTCTATGTTTACATGCTCCTGGAGGAGACCTTCAAACCTGCTCTTCCCTAGTGGGTACCGGCTGTTATGAAGCATTCTTCTGTTGCACCCAGAAGTTCCTTCCTGCTGCTTACAACGATTTCTTCCAAAAGGAAAGTCTCAGTTCCCATTCTCCTCCAAGAAGCCAGTTTCTATATCCTTACTTGGAAATTAAACTCTTCGCCCCTTGGTACACCCATGGAGCTCTATTCATGTATCTCATTGTGCATTTACAGTAGTGCAGTGTTGCAGTAACTTTGGTAGAAGGCTTATCTCTCCTAGAGGACTGTCAGACCTTGAGAACAATGTTTGAATTATGCATGATTTTTACAGTGCTTACCTAGAGCCCCAGAAGTTGTAGCCTCTTTAATAAATTTTTTGTGTAGGCAAATGGATAAATGTAGCTATTTCAGGAGACCCAGTGAGATTATAGCAAATGACTCCATATATTTTTAAAAGCATAAAAGAAAGAAGTTATAAAATCATATTTTACATAAATTAAAGAAGACTAATAGCCACCAGTGTCCAACAGGGAATATATTTCAGTGAACTTCTGTGGAAATTGTTAACTTGCTATGCAGGATGCATTAGGGACAGTACTTATATTAGGTTCAAGCTTGGGTGACGGGGGAGTCCATTATACCTTCCAACAATTCCATTTTGGTGAGTCTAAAACTCCTTCTGCCATTTTCCACTATCAGTGAGGCAGGCTTAACAGTTGTGTTTCATTAACAGAAAAGTAGAGAAATAGCCTATGTTTCAGACTACTTACCAGAGTAACTACAAACGCTGATGGCCACCAATAAGAAGACAGTTGCCAGCTTCATGGCAGGTGTGTGTGATAATTTCCTGGAATTTCAGAAAACCCAGAGCATCCACGAGGCCACTGGTTTTGCTTGCTGTGCCCAGTGCAACTGCTGCTTCCTCATACATACATGTATTTATACAGCCGTCAGAGGCCCAGACTGCAGGACCATCTTTTATTCACTGCACCAAAGAAGAGGCTGAAGGTCATGTTTCCTCACTAAATGAATTGGAGGGTTTGGAACATTTTCTCCACTCCCTCCTGTTCCCATGAGAAACAAAGCCTCAAGTAAAAGCATTCTTGAGCACCTCTTTCACAAGCCCTGAGACAGAAACAGTAGTGGAAAGCAAAGAGCCCTAAGAACCCTTCTCCAGGAAGCACATTAAAAAAAAAAAAAAAAAAAAAAAAAAACCATTATATTGCATTAAAAGGAGTGTTTTCCTTCAGATTTCTATTCATTGAAAGTGTGGCGAATCGCATTACCTGACGAGCTACTCAATTGTGAAATAATCTGGAGGCCACTTCAGCAAAGACGGCTTAACAGTAACTCACCTGCTCATCCACGTATGCATATAGTGATCCAAGTTCCCCAAAGTCCATTGTGTTATCTGGGAATCTTTAGAGTATGTATTCTCTATGTTTTCATGCAGAACAACATGTGCAAGATCTGAAATCAAAATGTCTTTACAGGAAACTGGGACTCAATTTTCACTGTTTGTGTTATACTGGATTAGTCACTTTTAATCTGTGGTATTGGTCTTCTCAGCAAAAACAGGATAGAAATGACAGGACTGACCCCACACTGTACATCCCTGAAAAAAAAAAAAAAATGTTTGCAAGACCTCAACTTCACAATTTGAGTCACCCAAGATGTACATTTTGGAACTATCCTAGCAGTTTAATCCTCCACAGTAATAATATATATGCTGGTCAGAGGAGCAAGCAGTTCCTACATTTGCCCTCCTGGAGCCAAGGCTCAGCCAGGGAGCTCCAGGAGGACTCCATTTTGGGGGATACTAAGAATCAAACTCAGGACCTCATGAGGACTTCATTTGTAAGCACATGTGCTAGTGTTCTTTGGGCCATCTCTTGGGTCTTGAACACAAGGAAAAAGATAAGAAAGAACCATGCAGGGGAGAAATGTGGGGCAGACCTCAAGTGGCCCCAGAAACCAACTCAGGAAACCTTGACCAAATGACCCTGCTGGCTCAGGTCATTCCCAACACAAAAGAAGAACCTAGAAAATCTTAGAAGTCACACCGAAGTACCTTAATGTAAAAGCCAGAGGCTGAAATCACCTCTGAGGGTATGGCACTGTTATGGAGATGATCATGTAGCTGTGCCAAGCCATATGCTCAAAAACACCCATCAATATGTACATATTTACACAAGTATGAAAAATAATATACGTGTATACACAAGTCACATATACATGTATAGCTATTAAGCAACCTTGTTGTTACTGATTTTATTCAACAAATATTTGCTGAGTATCTATTGTGAGACAGGGACTGTTAAAGAAATGAGGACTAGAGCAGGAAACCAAGCAAATTTCTTATAATGGATCTACCAAGTTAATAGGATAAACAGGCAACAAATAGGTGAATACACAAAGAAAACAACCTGTGGCAAGCGCTGTGGAGAAGCCAACAGGCTGCTGTGGCAGGAGACAAGTGGACTGGTGATGCTCTCATTCTTTGAAAGAGACTTGCATTTGGCCACTTCCATGCTTTCTATGTTCTAAATCATTATTTTAACTATGCCTTTTTATTTCATAATCTTGCTACTTAGAGATCTTGGGACAATGCTGATCCAGAGGAGAATGTCCTTCCCAAGGCTGGTGAATTCCCAAAGGTAGAGAACAATTCACACTGGAGTGTACCTTTTGTGTGCAATGAACCAATCAAGAGTGCAGGTCCCCAAACATCTTTTACAGGCTCTTATATTCTGGACTCTATTGCCCTTCCCCAATCACCCCAAAATCAAGTACCAGACAACTAGAAATAGCCTCCAAACCCAGAGATCACTGAAATTATTCAAAGCAGTCTATTTCTTTTGTCTTAAAACATGTAAGATTTTAATAACTGTTTTCTAAGAGGACTAATTTGTAATTTCTGCTTTTGTCCATTGCCAAATTTTTAAAAATCTGTACGTGTCTGACCTGCTTGTCATCAGATGAAGCACAGATCAGAAGTATTTTCCAGGTTCTTATTGTCTCAGTCGTGAATAAGTCAGGGTAATTAGTGGATGTGAAAGATTTATTTTAGGGCAGAAATAAGAAAAAGGAGAAGTGCTCAGGAGAAAAGGATGAGTAGAAGGAGAAAGAGAAGACAGGTCTGGCAGGCAGAACAGACCACTGCAGGAACAAGAGCACAGTGGCTCCAAAGTTGATTGCTGCAGAGCTTTTTTGTCTTCTTTGACGGTTGACCCAGACGGTCCCACTTGATCATGTGCTGGAACACTGATAGTGGTGTCAGGCTCAGCGTGTTCTCACACAGAAGATTGGTACCAGGTGCAGGATGCTTGGTCCCATGTCCAGCTCATGTGCAGCTGTTCTGCACTGGTGATTAATGAGTCTCCTCAATGGGTAGGTTGTGCCCAAATGCTCCAGCCTCATTGCTGTGCCCCAGCCTCCTGCCACAGGCTTTTTCTGTCTTGCCTGCCACCTCCTTTGGAAATCACAATAAGGACCATGGCCAGTGTTTTCCCCACTTTCTCTGGCTCCTGACAGACCCCAGTCTTCCCTTAGGCCCTCACCCCACACAGATCTGTGCATATATTAAAGCATCATTGCAGTAACAGTCACCTGCTGATCTGTTAGCAAGAATAACTACAGGGGCTGGGGATTTAGCTCAGCGGCAAAAGCGCCTGCCTGGCATGTGCAAGGTCGTGAGTTCGGTTCCCGGTACCAGAGAAAAACCAAAAAAAAAAAAAAAAAAGACAAAGAATAACTACAAAGTTTGTATTATAAAATGGCCATCAAACCTTTTCTTGTGCTTTTGTTCTAGTACTGCTTGTGCTTTTCTTTGTTGGGTGATTATTTGTAGTAATGCCTTCTTTCCAAGGTCTGTTTTCTAATCGTCTCGAAGGGAATTGTTTGTTCACATTTGAATCCTTACACAGAATGTAAGACAGTGGATAATAGCATTAGAATTACCCCTTCATTATCATTTCAGTCTCACAGAACATCTGATAATGAGAGCATTCTTCCCATTTCATAAATGAGAACTCTGAAGCTGGAAGCATTGAGTTAATTGTCAGGGTCAGAATTTGAGTCTTTCCTTTTCTGATTTGAGTTTTGGTACATTTATATACTTAGTTAAGATTCACTTCTAGTAACTATTTTAAATATATTAATTCACTGAAGAGAAATGCAACCAAAGGGAAATGAATGTCAGTGCTTTTAAATTAACGTGGATCTGCTTGCAAATGCAATTTTTGTGTAGATTGAATTTGTAATCAGAGTGGAAATTCAATTAGCTATTTAACAAGTACTTACGGAGCCTGCTTAGTGTGCCCTGCTCTGCTGTAGATTCTGGGAATACAGCAAGAACACAAATGGGCCTGATTGTCACTTCATTTCAATTATGTTAAAGAAAATTGTCAGAATCAAGTCCACGTGTGATTCTTTTCCTCATAAGGAAAGTGACAGTTATAAAACCACCAACTGAATATACATACAAAACAGTGGTCAGGATGGAAAACAAAATTGGCCTGGCAGCTCATCTGACACCCTTCCTTCTGGCTAAGAGGACACAGTCTCTTCATGCGGAAGTAATCTTCTCCCTTCTACTGGTTGGTAATGGGCATGGTCCAAAGTGGCCCAAACATAAACTTAGGTAAAAGGAGACAGTCATAAAATTTACTTTTAAGATCAGATACATATACAATTGAACTGAAAGCCATAGCCACCTCATAAAGCCTGGAGAAAAACAAAAACAATCCATTTTGAACTCCCTTGCTTATTGATTGAATCTTTTTGAGTGAAAATTAATGTTGTGCCATTGGAAGCTAAACCTCAGCCACTCCTAAGGCATTGCAGGAAAATCCAAATTTGATGCAGGCCTGGGAGGAGGAAAGGCGCACAGGAAACTGCAAGTAACTCAAGAGAACACCAAAAGAAAATTTAGAAAAGGAGAGAAACTCTTAGTGCAGGTTCATGGAATTCTTGAAAATCGAAGTAGTTCTTGAATTTAAGGATTTTGATAAGAAAAACCTAGAATTTGCGAAGATTTTAGAAAAGGAAACCAGTTTAGTGGGCTGCAAAGAAAGGCATATGGGACAGCGTCTCAGGTTTTCATGCCTGGTGCTGTCACAGAGTCTGCCCAAGGCAGATGTCAAACACACTCAGTTTGCTGTCAAACACGTGATGTGTCTTTTGGCTGGGTGGGATGGGAAGGTGAGGCTCCAACCCTAAACTCTGACTGACTGAATGAGGTCACCACTTGATCTGGCAAGACTTGATCAACAAGGAGAAAAAGGGATGTTTGAGCAGGAGAATCTGGCCCTAGATGTTTATAAAGTTGACCCACATAAGAGAAGGCAGAAAGATCTGTCAACATCCAGGACTGTGGACCCACACATTGCCAACCCAAACCCTCTGCTTCAGTCTGCAATTAGCTCCTCATCAACTTGCATAGCAATAATTCAGCTTCTTTGTCTTGGTGTGGTTCTTGCTGAGGTATGTGACAAGGCAGACCGGGAGCTAGCACATTGGTTTATGCTTTTGCTCCCTAAGTAAATAAATCAAAAGGTGGCTTCCTGTATCTTTGCAGACAAATCAGTCTGGCTTTGGTGTTGGCTTGCCTTGTCTTGTACGTGTGAGCCCCACACCCTTCCAATATCTGCCGAGCTGCACATTCATTATGAGGGTGCAGCTCATAGGCATTGTGAGCTCCTGTTGACTTTGCCCAGTTATAGGCCCTTGATTAATGCCTGACTGTAAATCATTTCTTCCTTTCTAAATATTTACATGTACTATGGTTCGTTTGGCAGGGTAAAGAGTGAAGAAGCCTTTTCACTAGGCAGAGGAACTCCTGGCCACCCTGATGTTTGCTTAGCACTGTGTGTAGCTCACTCATGTTGAGGCTGTTCTTTGTTCTTGAGAGCCCCGTTGTTAGTTGAATAATTCAGAGCACAAGTCCTGGAGCCAGCCTGTCTGGATTCATGCCCTAGTTCTTCCACTGGAGAAGTTCTTTTACCTCCTGGGACCAACTTTATCAACTATTTTATAGTTAGGCTAACAAAACCTACTTCCTT